GTCAAATACTTCCCAGAAAATATAAAATCTAATTTTCATAAATATTAAGTATTTATGGCACAAATAACAAGTATTCTACACATAAACTACTTAATAAGAATAATATAAAAATACCCCAAACAATAATTCCGAAAAATACTGAACAAAATTATATTAGGTCCAGTATCTAAATATGGCCACCTAATTAAATTTTTAATGGGATGAATTTTTGTCTCCAAAATTTATTGACTAATCTACAAAAACAATAACGGTAAAAACTACTAAACTAGTAACTTCGTAAGCCGGCTCCGATACCACTGTTGGGAAACGAGACTTGGATAACGCAGCGGAAAACAAAAATTTATAGTCCAAAACTCGATTTCACCCAAGAACAACTTACGTAAATTACTAGCTATAGTAAGAAATTTACCTTAACGGTGAAAACGGAGAACGGAGGAACGGTCGGGGATGGTTTTGAGGAGATGAACGTAGCGCCAAACGTATGAAGCCTCCAACGTATCCACACGAACTTGCTCCGGAGTCCAAGATTAAACTTGTGCTAGCAAGTTTAATATAGGATAGTAAAAACTATAATAATACTACTTTGGGAGTAATAAATATATAGTAAAATACCCGGGGCCCCTCTTCCGGGTTTTCTTTTTTTTTTATTTATACTGAGCAAGACCGGTGTAGTAACCAGCGTACCAAGCTCGGCTTGTGTCTCAGTCTTCCCTCCGAATAATTACCGGGCCTAGCTGGCCCGACACGTACTCATTATTACCTCGGTTTGACTGGGCAATAATCGCGAGTCTTATACCAACAGGGAGCACAAAATGATATTCTTGGAGCAATATCATGAATATGTGATCTCAAATCTTCATGTGGGCCATTCTTCAATTATCACTGCAAAGGATAATGCATGCCCCTTAAATCTTCAAGGAAGCTAATTTGATTCCTTTGTGCCCACCACGTGTGGTAACCATTTAATGAAAGCATCATTGCTCTTTCCTTTTTGCATGTGGCGGTGGGGTCATCAATCAAACTCGTCTCCATGTTTGGCCATTGATTCCACAAGATTTAAACAAATTAAACTCAATCACTCATGTGGGTGTTTTATAATATGTCCGCCACATGCTCCTCTCACTAATTTGTTTTCCTTCATTTGTTTTCTTCCACTCATAGCAGTAGATGTAATTGCCACGGAGGAGCAGACCTGTGCAGCAACAGAAGATTTCAACCATGGTGACGGTGAAAGCAGACACCAACGGTAGAGATGAGTTTGAGTTGTGGCTGATAATTTCTTTGAATACAAATTTCAGCGGGCCATGGACGTATTTTAAAAGAAGTGGGCTAAGACCTCATTCAACAATGATCCGGAAGTCCTCCAACGGAGAGAGATGTGAATGGCAGTTGGGTTTCTTCAACGACAGTGACCATTAGGGGATTGCTCCGGTGTTGTCGTAGTAGTGGTGTGCGGCGGTAGTATTCTTCTGAGGCTGCAGGGAGATATCTCCGGCATCAATCTCTTAATTTTCTCTTTGAAGGGGTGGCCCGTCAAAGTGCGGATGCAACTCCATCTCCCAACAAAGGTGTGACTAACTCTTGTAGTGGGTCAGATGCGAAACCAATGGGACAAGTGATGGTGGTTTAGCTCTGGCTGTGGCTAAATTTGGCAGCGGTGCTGCCGAAGATCCTCTAGACATCGTAGCCAAGGCGAGATCCGAGCTCCCCAACCATGGCCATCCCTTTTAGCATGATGACAACCCATGGCGGGGTACTGGCGGTCTAGAATTTGACCAGCGACTACTCCCTTTCAAACAACAGTGTAGCAGTGGTAGCATACCAGATCAAGGGTGGTCATGGTACATCCAATGCAGAAAGCAACCTTCATTATGCTTAATTTCTCATGATGCACCAGCCGTCGCGGATGGCAGCGAATTGGAGTTTCACCTCTTCAAACTGTCCTTCCCAATACTTTGCTTCCAGGGTTAGACCCCGACAACAATGGTCGCTGCGGATCGGAAAAGAGCAACGGCTAGAGATTTGGCAGCAAATATGAGGTCGATGAATCTTGGCTCCCTTCGAGAACAATCAACAACTTCTCCCAATTGCTATGGATTTTTTACAGCTGCGGTTGCAACGGTGATTTTTGGCATCACTCTCGATGGTAGCTGCCTTCGGCGGGGATATGGCGGGCCATCTGCGGGGAAGGCAATTTTGACGAACTTTGGCTTCAATAGATCTATAGGTGCTTGATCTATCTCTCAACAAGATCTCTTCACAAAGAAAAGATTACATCTTGAGATTTAGCTCTCCAGTATTGCCTCTTCATTTTTTTTGTTGCACCATCATTCCCCAAAGAATGGGACATCACTTTCTCTTTAAATTGAGCAATGAATCAGTCCAGATTTTTGATGAACTTTGAAGCAATTCAAAAGGCATGGCTTTGTGTTCGAGGTCCCACGGTCGGCGCCAAAATAATGGTGTAAATTATCGACCGGTATATTGTTTTTAGCCGGGTAAAACGATAAACTAGTCTAAAAAATACACCAAAACATAAACACGAGGATTTTGACGTGGAAACCCAAATCGGGAGAAAACCACGGGCCTTTTTTGGCGGTACCTTGCCAACGGGGGATTTTTATTAATATCGGGGGTTGTACACGGTACATGATTTGGGCTAGGAAGCCATTAATGAAAGCTTGAAGCTTCTTTGAAGAAATAAAATATAGAATATACAATATTTCTAGAGAGAGAAAGTAGTTTGGACAAGAGGATAAGAGAGGAAAATGGCCTCCCTTCACAATTGAGGCAACCCTTTTTTTATAGGAGAGAGTGAGAGAATCTACGGAGGAATATTCTCTTATTCCTCCATTTTATTAAGCAGGCCTGGTTTGACTGTTATTCGTAAATAATTGGGAAATGTGGGCCGAGCCACGTATTATTTCCCATCAGATGAAATAGTTTTTCGTGAAACATTGTAGGTTGCTGCAATTTTGTTTACCATGCCTTGTTGAGCCACAAGTTCCCCATTCGCTCTTTGTGTTGAATGTAGCATTAGCTCATCGACCATAGATTGTCTTTCTGAGTTCGTAAGATGTATGTGGACTAAACTTGAAGTATTTTCATTTTGTAGGTGTTCACCAGAAGCCCCTTGGGCAGCAAGATGGGAGAGAGACCATAGTTGTGCCAAAAGGGGGGGGGGCTGCTGCTCACCCAAATTTTGGGCAGAAAAGGCAGAAGATTGTTGGAGAGGAGATGATTTAAAAGAAGGCAAAAAGTGAAAAAAATTATGTGAAGAATCCATGAGGGATTGGAAAAGAATGAGAGTTAGGGTGACTATTTATTGGCTTAAGAATGAAAAAAAGAGTGGAAACATGAAAATGTAATTGGGGGAAAACTTTTTTTTGTAATGGAAGGAAAACTAGAGGGAGTAAACCAAAATTTTGTGTTTAATGGATGTGCCGTCCTTTTTGTATTGGGAAAATGAAACGTAAATCAGTCCCATCCCTTAATTCTATTACTTTTAAAATAGAGGTGTTTTTGGAACCTTTATTTTTTTTAGTCCTAGATTGGCATGCCAAGTCAGTCTAGAAAGAAAATTACCATACGAAAAGAGTATTTTAAAAAAAATATATTTAATTACTTGAAAATAAATATTTAATTACTCGAAAATGAATTTTGATTAGGGTTGGTGGAACAAACAAGATTTACCATGAAAGGACGCCCTAGCTAGGGCGGCCACTGGGGACATCTACCTCCTCTTTTCTTCACTCCCTCGTTTTCCCTCTTCTTATCACCTTCACAATTTTCTCTGGAGCACACATAAACCTCTCATAGATCAACTGTATGATTATAAGCCACAAGTAAACCTCCGAATCTGCTGTTTTCAGTTCGAGAAACATAAGTTTCTGCACACACGTCTCGTGTGCGGATTTGCTCGGAGGAGGCCGGAGGCTATGCAACCTTGCTGGTGGGGGCTGCAGCGGCTACGGCGGAGCGGTACATCCAATGCGGAGGCGGAATCAGGTCGTTGATGGCCGTTCTGCAAATGAATTGGCAGCCGAGCCTCCTCAGGCACAAACGCAAATCGAGTCCTCCCTTAGGGCTCAGAAACCTAGGCAACACCTGCTATCTTAATTCCGTCCTCCAGTGCCTCACCTACACCCCTCCTCTCGCGAATTTTTGTCTCCAATCCCTTCACTCGTCCTCATGTAAGTTCTCCTTGTGGTCTGTTTAGTGTCTATATTTTTCCCTCAATTTTTGAATCGGGCGTTTTGATTTTCATCAGCTTTCTGCCTTTAGGTGATGTGGCCCGGGAGAAGAAGAGCGAGTGCCCTTTCTGTATTCTAGAAAAGCGAATTGTTCGGTCTTTGAGTCTAGATTTGCCACTGGACAGTCCTTTGAAGATTAATCGCTGTTTGAGGATTTTTGCACAGCATTTTAGAACAGGGATGCAGGAGGATGCACATGAGTTTTTGAGATATGTGATTGATGCCTGCCACAACACATGTTTGCAGTTGAAGAAGCTGCAGCAACAGAGAAAGAAGGCTGGAAATGGAAATGCTACCAGCGGGTGTGGGAATGATAGTACTATTGTTAAGGAAATTTTTGGAGGTTCTTTGCAGAACCAGGTAAAGTGCCTATCTTGTGGTGCTGAGTCGAATACGGTAGACGAGATCATGGATATCAGTCTTGATGTTTTGCACAGTAGTTCTCTGAAAGATTCTCTGCAGAAATTCTTTCAGCCAGAAATTTTGGATGGTAATAATAAGTACAAGTGTGATAAGTAAGTTTTCTTTATTCCATCATATATTGAGATGTCTGCTCATTATTATATTTATCTGTATATAAATATTTGAATTGTGCTACTTGTTTAGGTGTAATAAATTGGTGACTGCACGGAAGCAGATGTCATTACTTCAAGCACCAAATGTTCTTGTTATTCAGCTCAAGGTCGTATTAGATATGGAAGGAACAATTATGTGTTTTTTCAAATATATTCCAATTTAATACTCTTGTATACTTATTGTTTTCAATTGACAGAGGTTTGAAGGTATATTTGGTGGGAAGATTGATAAGCTTATTAATTTTGAGGAGGTTTTAGTGCTTTCAAGCTACATGTGTGAAGAAAGCCAGGTGGGTTCCTAAAATAAGTCTGAGAAATCTGTCTTCAACATGCAGGTAGCTCTTATAATGATTTATCTAATGTGGAACATTATTGCCTGCTAAATTTGGTTATGTGTAAGTATCTATGTTTTTAGGCTCTCATGTTGTAGTGGAAACAATTTGAAATCCTTTGGGGCATCAAAAATAATACTTCGTATGACTTTGTATTCACTTTCTTTTTCTACATAACATACATTGATCCTTCCTCTAACTTTAATGATTTCTGACTGGTTGGTCACTAATAATTAGACCTGTCAGTTTGTTCAGTTTGAATTTGTTCGGGTCTATTTTGGGTATATCTTTTTAGTTGTTCTGGACTGTTTTTTGTTCTATTCGGGTTCGGGTTTAATTTGGTTGTCTATATTTTTTTGAGGGAGCCAAAGATTCTCTATTTTTGGCTTTGGGTGTAATGGAATAAAGCAAAATGGTTCTTTAAATTGCATGCGCTTCTTTTTCAAAAGTGAAGTAGCAGTTAGTCAATGCAACTTTCAACGCTCATCATGGGTCATCCAGAAACAGCCGCTCTATGTTCTGCATACATCTGACCCCCCTTGCCCCAAAATGGGTGGGAGCCTTTGAGGCACTGGGGTAACGTTGTTGTTGTTGTATATTTTTTCGTTTTGGTTACGGTTTCTTTCAGATCAGATATGGTTCGGGATATAATATGTTCGGGTACAAAATGGTTTGGATAGATATCATTTTGGGTAGATTTTGGTTAGGGAAGATTTCAGTTTTGACAGATACCAATATATATTAGCTTGGGATAAAAGATGAATATTGGTTTGAATAATCTGGGGTTGGATTAATATTAAAATTGAATTGAGAAGTCCTCTTCCTCTTGTCGAGTAAAAATCTTCTTGATTTTCTTTTTAATCTACTTCTCACTTTATTCATGTTTAGAGTTAAAGAAAGAAGAAATATTTTATTGGTGAAATGTAGAGAAGGAAGTTTTTCCGCCAAAGCCAAAATCCTTATGAATGCTTTGATTTAAGTTTCTTTAGATTTCATTATTGTCAATGCTTTCATTTGGAGTTCACATTACCTTACTTTTGTCAAAGGAGGCATATAGTTAGCTTATTACTAATGACTCATGATTCAATTTTGGGTTTGATTGGTTTTGGGTTTAATCCTTTTCGGCCTTATCGGTTTGGGGTCTAATTCGAGTTTGACTCTATTTGTTTTGGTTTGGCTTGGGGTCATCTCAGGCTTTGGTTATTGACCGGGTATTCATTTTTTCGGTCATTTCGGGTTCAATTCTGGTTTATTCAATTCGGGTAATTTGTTTTGGGTCTGTTTTGCTAGGTGTACTAATAATGCATTCCATATCTTATCATTGTATTTGAAAATATGATTTGTGGGATTGGTGCTGCAGGATGCACATCCAGATTACAAGCTTTTTGGCACCATTGTGCATTCAGGCTTATCACCAGATTCAGGACATTATTATGCATACATTAAGGTTGTCCCACTTACATATATATTTTTCTTCGAACCTACTTGTATCATTTTTTTAGAATTACTTTATTTTTAAATTTTTATTCTGGATTTGTAGGATGCAATGGGCTATTGGTACTGCTGTAACGATTCTTATGTCTCGCATTCAAGCTTGCAAGATGTTCTTTCAGAGAAGGTTTATATTTTGTTCTTCTCCCGTGCTAAACATAGGCCACCATCTGTGAATAAATGCTCGCCATATAATGGTTTGAAGAATAATGTTACCAATGGCATTGGTAAATCTGAGATCCCCAAAGGCCTTTCAGAAAATCCTGTAAATATTAAGCAGCTTTCTGGTCACCAGCCAGAGATAGATAACTCAGCTATTTTGGAAGTCGATAAAGCTCCAGGTGTCTTTGAAAAAGATAACATAAAGAAGCTGTGTTCTCCTCGAAATAAAAAAGTTGTTGCTAATCAAATAGAGTCTGGAAAAAAAAATGGTGCTCAAAGAGACTTGGTTCATTCACCTAAAGCAGCAAGGTTGTCACCACATAGAAATGGTTCTAGTAAAACTATTGTCAATGGAAAGACAACAAGATCACCTTCTTTAGCCAATGGTAACAGTAATCTCGAGACTGTAACATCTGATATCTTAGAGGGTGGACTCTGTAAAGAGAATGGTCATAGCGATAAAGAGACTTCTAACCAAAAGGAGTTGCTTAATGGTAATGTGAAATCGTTGTCAACTAACTCAAGTCAAAAGAGAAAATCGCCAGAATCAAGTGTTCTACTATCGGGGGATGCTCACTTCTCATTGAAGCTGGAAGCATTGAAGAAAGAGTATTTTCCTATCCCTGCTGCTTTTAAATATTTAGAATGCATATTAAGACTTGAAAGTTCGTTGTATTTCCAACTTTACTTCTCCAGCCCATGCCTCTGCCCCTTTTTTGTGCATTCCTTTTTTTGGGAAAGCATAGAGGACATGATTGATTTGATATTGACTTGTTCTTCCTGCTATCATGCCTTGTATGTGGGCCTAGATTTCTGATACCGTGAGACATTTTTTTGACATTAACATATTAATCCCTTGAAACATCTTTTGGGATGTGCAGAGATTTTTTGCAGAACTATGTTTTATGTTCTTTGGGTTGATTAGTTAACCATTTTCTTAACATATTGCAGACTGATGAAAGAAGCGTCCTCGGTGCTGCGATCCTGTGGCTGGACTGAAAATGTCCATACTTTCATGCATGCTAAGAAAAAGATGCGTGCACAAGGAGTCAGGAACACATCAGATTATGATGAGGAAAAGTATGTTCTTCTTTCCTTTTAGCTTTAAGTAATTGGCTAGTTTCGTACTAATTGTGCCCGTTGGGATTAAGACTTTTTCCATTTTTTTCCAAGGATTTTTTCATCAATACATTTAATACTTGTATTTCAATTACAATTATTAGATACTTACTACTTGAATTAGTATTGAGGGTTTTTTTGTTGGGTGGGGGTGGTGGACGGGTGGTTAAGGGAAAACCTTTGGAGAGCTTGTGCTCTTTGCATGAAACATGTGATCTCATCTAAATTGTTTAAGAGCAATTTGGTTCGGTACAAATATTTTTTTATATTTAGTCCAAATGGTTCTGGCATGGTCCTGTTTTTATCTTTCTGTTCTTGTCTGAGTGTTTCTAGTCTGAAATGATCTCATTGTTTCTGATATTCTTAAATGTAACATCAGTTTTAATCCAAATATTTGCACTCCATCTGTCCAAATTTAGTTCATTTAAAAAAATCATTTTTAGGAATTGAGTTGTCAAATTAGTCATTCAAATGAATTTTCTCACTCATTCTTGTCAACAATTCTAATACGCTATGATATTTATAAACAATGCAACATAATTTCTTTACACTATGTTTGGTTCAGGGAATTTGAGAGGGAAAGGAAAGGAAAATGAGAAAGAAAACATTTTTCTTGTTTGGTTAGAGAGGAAAAGAAAAGAAAAGTGAAGGGCAAAATGTATTAAGAAGAAGGAAAAACCAAATTTCTCCCATTTTGATGAAGAAAATGAGGGAAAACCATTTTCTTTTCTTTTCTTCCAAACTCCTTGAACCAAACATAGTGTTAATGAACATGGAAAGTGGACAACTAATTTTGGACAAACGAAAACAATTAAGTGAACATCTGAATCCGGATGGATTGAGTAGTTGGTTGCAGTTTGATCTGAATGTTGAATATTGCTGATATGGTATTATCTTTTCGTGATTAAAATATGAACAAAAGTAAGCAAAAAATGGTGAATATAAGAATCTTTCTTGGAAATAGAAAAAAGAACGCCGTAGTCTATATCTTCTGAAAAGAAAACTATATCAAGAGGTAGAATAAGCCTGCCAAAACCCTCCATGCAACCAGGCCCTTAAGCCATTCTTGTTGAATTACTTTCGAGTATGAATCTTGTAGTTGATACGGGCATGCAAGTTAACTTCTCAGTTTGAACTGATACGAGAAACTTGTGTTGTTTTTGTGCAGGAGGTTTTTGATTGCAGATGCCAAACCAACTTTTATTTCGCAAATTCCCGAGTCATTGAAGGCTAATCTTATTAACCGTCTGAAATCTTTTCACCAAAACCACAAGCACACAACCGCTACTTGAGCTCTTGGTCCGTAAAAGTGAAGTGACGCGCAAAACATTATATAGCTAGTGATGCTCTGCTTGTACAATACAAAGAAGAGATGGCAGTGGAAGAGAGGTGAGATTTAGTTTAGTTAGCTTTTTTCTATGAATATTAATTACGGAATACTTTGCTACTGAACGAGTAAAAACTGCTGAGAACAAATGGTGAAAGTTTGTTATGTTCTTTAAAAAAAAATTCTGACTGTTTTTTTGACATTGCTTTACATAAAGGATTTATCTGGCGGCTGTATTACATAAAGGATTTAAAACTGATTTTCATTAGCAGCTACTGATTGATACTCCGTATGAAGTGAGATTAGAATACTGAATCTGTACTTGTAATATCATCCATTTGTTATAACTTGTAAATCTTACAATGAGTTTTTTTACTGACATTTGGATGGCTCTAGACATACAACTCTATTGTCGATTGCAACTTCTGTCCAGACAGGAAATTCTTCTTCGCGAACATAAACCTTTGTGGATATTTTGTTGGAAAAATTATCTCAAATAATCCCACCTTTTAGTTCTCTTTCAAAAATAATCCTATTTTTCACTCTCACCAGAAATAATACCACCTTCCCGCATATGTGCAAGTTTTGGGTCGCCGTTAAAAAATTAACGGTCACTTAACGGAAATTTTGAAAAATGCCTGTTTTTCGCAAATAAATGAAAGGTAGGATTATTTTAGGTAAATTCTCCCTTTTTCGTTTTTTAATTTCTTTAAATGTATTTTTATTTTATTTTTTTGGAAAAAATACCAAATATAAGTGTTTTTAGAGTGAAACTAATTGTTTTTTTTCAATAACCAATAATATGGTAATAATTAGAAAATAAATTATTCTACACAATAGAGCTAATTTATTAACTTCATAACTAACTACTGCCTCCGTTTGGAAAAAGTGTTCCTCTTTTGACTTTGTGTAAAAATAAGGAAGTATTAAATTGTAGTTGACTTTCAATTTTGCCCTTGATGTGATAGGTAAAAGTAAGATGTGATGGATAGATTATTAGAGATAAAGTATGGTGTGATAGGTAGGGTATGAAAAAGTAAGGGTAAAAGTGGTTTTTTAATAGAACGTTGAAGTGTTTGTTGGAAGGGAAAAAAATGAAAGAGGAAGTATTTTTGATAACGGAGGGAGTACATTTTTTTGTAAGTTGCATTTACTGTATTTTTCTTGAGCTGCACTTCAATTTATTTTTTGATAATACATTATTATTATTTCTTAAAAAAATGGCACTACAAAACTTATGAATATTTTTCGATAGTTCTATATAAATATTTTTTGTGAAACAACATTACAATAGTTGTGAAAATAACACAATAATTTTTTTCTCTAAAATAGAACTTTTATTTTTATAACTCACTACATTTTCCGATTTATTGCAATTTTTCCATGAACACTCTGAAATATTTATTGATAATCTTATATTGCAATAAAATTTTCTTTCTAAAATGGAACTACCCAATTTGTGATATTTTTAATAATTCAATACAAATTTTTCCCCAAAATAGTAATTCAAAAGTTGTGAAAATGACACAATATTTTTTTCTCCGAAACGGAACCCATAAATTTTATAAATCACTACAATTTTTTTTATTGTAATTTCTTTCTTGATCGATACTCTGAATTATTTTTGATAATTCAATACTATATTTTCCCAAAACAATTAACAAAATTTGTTAATCGTTAGACAAATCTCTAACAAGAGTGTATTGTTATATTTTTAAAAATATTAATTTTAAATTCAAAACTAAAAAAGTAAAAAGTAAATTTTTCTAAAATAATCTCACCTTTCATTTATTTGCAAAAAACAGGCATTTTAAAAACTTACGTTAAGTGGCTGTTAGTTTTTTTTTAACGGTGACCCAAAACTCGCACACATGCGAAAAGGTAGGATTATTTCCGGTGACAGTGAAAAGTGGGATTATTTTTTAAAGAGCGCGAAAAGGTGGGATTATTTGAGATAATTTTTCCTATTTTGTTCTATCTACGTTCCGTTAACATGCTATTGACACATACGATCCATGGACACAAGCGTTTGTGACAAAATTTAGTTAAAGTAAAAAATTTAACTGGTGAATTCGAGACATTATTTTGAGTGGGATCTGCACCTAATTTGTGCCAGGTCAAGGTGGATTTAGGTTCTTCATAATAAGAGGACCAGTTTGACTGATGAGAATTTGATTTTTCTGAAGTCTGTTTCTGTAAAATCCATAACCGAAGAAAAAAGTTGAACGCGCGTGTCAAGTAACCACAGTGCAATGCTATGCGTAAAATGATCCGCGGACCGCGGGTCTGTTAATGCATTTTGATGTCTCAAGACTTCCTGGACATGTCAACTGATAGTTTTTCGAATCTCTCTACACTTACCCTATGTTTGGTTTGGGAATTTGAGAAGAAAGGAAAAGAAAGAATAGACGGAAAACTGTTTTGTTTTTCTTTAGTTCATTTCTTCTTCCATTTTCTTTTCCTTCCACTTTTCTCTTCTTTTTCTCCCTAACAAAAGAAGATAATTTTTTTCCCTCTCATTTTCTTTTCTTTTTCTCTTCAAATTCCTGGAACCAAACATAGTGTTAATGAATCACCTTGAAAGTGTGATTTGAATACCTCAAGTTAAATAATCCTCCCTATTTGTCTTGATTGAATATGTTTCTAATAAAAGGAGAATGGTTTAGTTGATATTTATGTAAAGTTGAGAAAAATAATATGGACCATATATTATATTTCATGAAAGAAACAAAATAACTTGGGGCGAACAAAAAAAATAGATGCCATAAAATCGGGTGGAGGGATTAGTATTTGATTGAGTAAATTCTGTAATTGGTCTTTTATAATAGGTCGTTTTCCACATTTAGGCAGCGTTCTGTACTTTTGTTAAACTTATTTTTTTACTTATTACTTATTCTTATTATAATTGGATTAGGTCATACCAGATCACACTAGATCTGATCAGATCATACCATATCAGATCAGAAACAATTTTAATTATAACTGGAATCAGATCAGATCTTTAGAAAATTAGATGAGATCAGATCAGGTGAATAGAATACAGCCTTACTCTATTTCTAGCACCCTTTGCGGAAAGGCTCATAAGACTCAAATAATTGAATGTTTAATACTAAACATTTGAATGTATCACAAAATGGGTTCACACAAAACCGTGTTGTGTTGTTTCATCAAAGTTGTGTTGTTTCATCAACCGTGCAAACATTTGAATATACCATGAAAAGTTGTGTTTTTTCATCAACAAACATCATTCAAATTTTGGCCTATAAATAAATGGTTCCAGGGTATTTTGGGCATCACAAAACTTTAATACTGGTTCTAGTAGATACCTGTGTCATATCCGTTTGAAGTATTTTTATATACCCTCAAATATCTCTAATTTGAAAGCATGTTTTCAAGCGATTCACTAAGTCTATCAAGTTTCTTCACATTCATCTGTATACCGATTCTTTATAGTGCTGCTTCGCAACATTTCACCCCTCCCAGATTTAGTGCCCCCATCCTTGACCTAACCAAGTATTGTATGCAGCTCCGCCTGTTAGTCTCGTAACGAGTGGGAATCTCTCGATTATATACTTCGAGTCGGATGGTTTGATTGCATATTTAAATAGTATGTGTGTTGATTAGGCCTATTATTTAGTATGCGCTCGCTACGATCTCTATTTACCCATCACTTTGCTTTTAGCATTTTCCGAAGTGTGCTCTATTGTCGCCTATGATGTTTCTTGAGGCTGCAAATGGAAGGAAATATATTTCTTGGCAAAGTTTACCATCAATTTGGGAGGAGCCATGGTGCATGTTCACTCAACTTGAAATATAATTAGATTCTATGAAAATAAATGTTTTCTTATGATAATTAGAGAACATCATGATTTTAACGGGCTCTCGTAATTGTGCTAATATTGGATTTTCATAGACTTAATCCAACACATCCTTAAGCAATGCATAGCCAAAAGGCCACAAGTGTTTAGCAAAACTCTCTCCCAAAGACCAGGGGCCGATCCTAAATTTCTGGGCCAAAAATCACCAACAGAAAGAATAATATTATATTAGAGACAACAGCTATTTCTTTGTTTTGGTACGGTTACATTACATCTGGTGTCACTGTTCAATGGTGGGCAACAGAAGTGAATGGCTGGCTCCTTGATCTTTACAAGATGGAACTGGAATATATATATATGTATTGCTATTTACAATGTTACAGCAGCATACAACAATGGGAGGCAACCCTTTCTCCGTTTCTTCACTGCCCTTCTCCTCAGCCTCTTGACAGGCGGCAATCAGCAAAACTCACCCACAATTACTCCTCCGACCACCGCAAATTCCCCCCCCCCCCTCCCTCCACCACCCCCACACCCTACGTGAGCAATCAGGGAAAAAAATGAACATGGGACAAAATGTGTGCGCGTATGACCTTAGAGGTCAAGCCCCACTGCTTCAAGTGCTGCAGCCATTGAGGCTGACGCTTCCTCCAGAGTTCTCCTCTTCTGCACTGAGTTGAAGGCTATCAGATTATCTCCAACCTCCCAATCGTTGAAATCTTTAACTCCTATTCCACATTCTAGTCCAACATTCACCTGTTTTTGAAAAACATTTGGATCAAAGGAGCATTATGAATTGGGAACACGACACCATGTTTATGAAATGTTGAGATAGAAATATTTAGATAAGTACTAGTTATAGAGGTAGTGTATACCTCTTTCACGATCTCCTTAACACGTCTCAAAGATTCAAGGACACCAACATGGACTTGTTTTTGGTTCCTTAATACCCTAATTCCACAATCTTTCACAATTTTCCCATCTGTTACAAAGCATCCGGCAACACGACCACTGCCACTACTGAACACTGCACGCACTTCTGCTGAACCAATTGGCACTTGTTCCTGCAAGATAATCAGTCTCATGCTTTTGTGTGTTATAATTAAAGCATGCCATCCAGTACCAAGTAGAGAAGTGAACATAAGAAATGGAATAGAAGAAAGGGAAAATTGCACTTTTAATCGCTCGATTGTTCGTCATTATGTCATCCTGAACCTGTCTTCTAGATTTTTTGTGGTCTGGGCCTTCAAATGGTTTTACGTAGTAGTGCAGATACAACTAGCCCCTCGTCTCAGAATCACTGATTATCAATAAAGTTTATGGGGGTATTTTTGAGAATATAGAATGTCGAGAATGGCCCCATAAACCTTAATGTTTAACAGTGTAAATAATGATTTTAACAGGAGGGGCTCATGGGGTTTGTGCTAGTGCTTTTAATACTGTATATAATGATTACTCCCTCCGTCCCTCATAGATCTTCTCAATAGCCCTTTTTCTATATCCACAATAGATCTTCTCATTTCATTTTTTAACAATTAAAATACCACAACTACCCCCACTTACTTTATTTATTATTTTATTACACCTCACCCACCTCATTTAATACACTCCACCCATTTTTCATTAAGGGTATTATGGTAAACTTTCACCTTTTTTCAACTCTCCTTAAAAATCACTAAAAGTCAAAATGAGAATAGGGGGGCCGGAGGGAGTATTTAACAGTGTAAATAATGATTTTAACTAGCAAAAGACAAGAACAATGCAGTTTGTGCTTGTCCTTAATGTTCAACAGTGTAAATATGATTTTAACAGGCAAGAAGGAAGAACATTCGAGTTTGTGCTTTTAGAACATTATTTTTTTGGGAAGAAGAGTGTTTTTTCATTTGCTGGAAGAGTGTTAGAGTGCATTAAAATTAGTTCATAACTGCATCATTATAAATACACACAACCCAATGTGTACATGTCAAGAAAAGATGGCTGCAGCTAGTATAGTATGCATGTGTCTAGAGATTCCAAGCTATATTTCTATACATTCAAAGTTAATGATATAAGGAAATAAGGGAGATACAGTAAAGGAACTGCATTTACCTCCACAGGTTCCAAAAGTCCTTCCATAGCCTTTCGTACATCATCTATAAGTTCATATATGACTCTGTACAGCCGGATCTCAACACTTTTGTTGTCTGCATAGGTTTTGACAGAGCCCGACACTTTGACATTAAATCCTAAGATGATGGCTTTACTTGCTACTGCAAGATCAACATCACTGGCGTTCACATCCCCAGTAGCTTGTAATAGGAACTTCTGAGTGACATTATCCTGAGGAAGAAGCTGGAGAGCCTGTCTGAGAGCTTCAATGGATCCCTAACCATGGCAAGAAGTTCAGAAATATCGAGTATCAATATAGACCCTTATTGAACACACAAATGGAATTGTTAACAAATATCATTTTGTTGAAGTCTTCTTCACTTACAAATTCAATTCCATGTGGGTTGAAAATTTCTGAGAATAACATGAAATTATTCAACACTGTTATACCTAACAGGTGGACCTAAGAGGACTTGGCAAGCATTGATCAAGGGAGACCTCCGTGTGAACAATCTCACAGCAAATATGATACACAATAGGGCGCAATAGCGTCGTTTGATCCATGTAGCCGACCCCACCTTGTGGGATAAGGCTTTGTTGTTGTTGTTAAACTGCAGAATGGCTTCTTTTATTTAGGCTTTGGTTGCATGTATCTTTTCCAAATTTTTAAAATGACAAACACAAAGAGACTGGTGAGATGATCTTGCCTAGTTTTTATCCCCCAAACTCATTTACCCTAATAGAATGCCACATACTCTCATCCCCATTTCTTTTAAGTTTCTAATAGTTGCGCAGTTGTGCCACGTGATTTGCACAGATTTATAAATTGGTACACAAAATGATTTTTTCAAGGAAATATGAAGCAGTCAATTATACTACTTCCTCCGTCTGTCTATAGTTAGGATATGTGAGAGTGGCACACAAATTTAGGACAAATGGAATTGTGTGGCTCATATTAAACTGTCAAAGTATGAATTACTTTGAGCCACATAAATCATACCAAATGTAGTATGTTCATAAAGATCAAAATAGAAAATTAAACTAAAATATTAGGACGAATCGGAGATAAAAATGAATGAAAATAGTGGTTTTAAAAATAATAAAATAAAAATACTAATTCTATTTTAGAAAAATAATGCTTCAAACTACCTTTATTAATAAGAATTTTAAAATTGAACATGTCTACTTTTTGGGATAAGTTACTAGGGTAAGGGATGGTGTACTTATGTTTTTTAAAATTAAAATTTAAATACTCCCACCGTCGCGTTTGAATATTCCCACTTCCAATTTTGGGCGGTCCCTCTTGAATCTTCCCACTTCCCTAATATGGCAACTATTTTAATGTTAAAAAACTACTTTTCCCTCCTGACTCTTATCTACAAAATCCCTCACCCTACTCTCTTCTCTCGTCCACAAATCCTCACTCTTCTCTTCCACCTTCGTTGCTCCATCGATGCCGTCTTTCATGCATCAACAGCCGGCGCTGCTCCGTCCGCCGACGGAAGCCTCCACGCTGACCTCTTCAAAGACGGGGCAGATTTGAATCTAAATCTGAAAGAGGGAGATGGGTGTAACTAGATTTGAATCTAAATTGCCACTCACTGTTTTTCTCCTTTCTTCTTTGTCCCCCTCCCCCCAATTTCTTCATCTTTTTCTCTTTTATTTCTTCTTCCTTCGTCAACCACACCCCTAACCCCCAATTTGTTCTTCAATTTCGATTTGTTTTTCTTCGTCAACCCCCCTGTTTGTCTCTCCTTTATCATTTGATTTTGATATCTAATGTGAGCATAGGCTGTGGAGGAGCATCAGAAAAAGGGGCAGCGATGAGATCTAAGCAAGTTTCGCAGATCAAGGCGGTAAAATTGATTTTTGATGGCTGCCTGATCTTGAAAATGAAGTTCATTTTTGTTTTGGATTTACGATTCAAGCGGTAGACTGTCTTTTTTTTGGATTTAGATTTACAATGAAGGGGTTTGGTTTGAAATAGAGGCAGGTGGGGTGGATTGAGACGGAAGATGAAATGGATGAATAAGTAAGTGAAGGGCATAATTGGAAGTCAAAGCAATTTTAACATTACACTAAAACCTGTGCAAAGTCAAAGTGGGAAGATTCTAACGGGACGGGGGAGTAATTGTTTGTGTATGGAACCTGAGGAAGAGTAGAGGTAGATCAAAGCAATGTTGAAGTGAAGTGGATAGATAGGAGTCAACACTTCTGCATCTTACTGAACTCAGAGAAGACAACACAGTTGATGGGAGGTTTTGGAGGTCAAGGATTAGAGTTGTCAAGTAGACTTTTAGAGGAGCGGTCCACTGAGTTTTTATTGCTCTTGGGGTTACTTAGGCCTTGTACGTGGGATGCATGCTTTGTGGCCTTTGTGTTTTTTTCTCTGTTTCTAGCATTTCTTTTTATGTTCCGTTCTTTGAGCTGACGGTCTTTCAGAAACTTCTCTACCTTTATTAGGTAGGATCATGAAATTACCCCCACCACTCATGAGATTTATTGGGTAGGTTATTGTGTTCCAAGATCAGAGTGAAGAAAGGAGGGAGGAGAAAGGTGATTTGCCACATTCTTTTAATATATAGATTCTAAATCAATCTTCTATGTTTGAGTCGTGCTCCATGATGTGCATGTTCATTTTACCATATCAATCATGTAATTGGACAAAACCATAGTAACTATCTCACTCTCAACTTATGGCTGCCTCCTGATCACAGCTTTGGGATTTCATCGCAATATTCCTTCATAAGGTCAATAAGGTTGTTACAGGATTACAGGAAGGGCACTAGCCTAAATTTTTTTCATCAACTTATAATGTTGATGAACTATTGAAAATTACTGGACCCTACAAATTTCATGCCAGTTAGGATATCATCGGAGAAAGGTGCTAATGATGCATAAATATTACTATTTATTACTCCGCAATAAACAACTAGGCATCAATCAAAATCGTGGTTGGTATACTGATTTCTTGATAAGCAAGCATGTGACTCTCACAAAAAACACTAAGAATCCAGGTTGCAATTTACTGTATTTGAATACCTGAACATCAACTTTGAGAATAATATTCAATTGATGCAAATCTGTCCCATTAAGCTTCCCAGCTGAAACAGCAGAAGCAAAGGAAGATAGGGTAACCTTCCCATCCCCAGCTTTTGCTGATATGCGTTCATTTCTCAATGATTCTGCCCTTTTCTCTGCCTTTTCGCGTGCAATATCAAGAGAACCAACTACCTCAAACTCATCACCAGCAAAGGGAACATTGTTCAAGCCAATAACCTGTTGAAGCATGAGACAGATGTTTTATATTGATGAGATCAACTAGCTATCTAGAGGTAATATAGTAAAATCATCTCTCTCACAATACCCCTGTAATACCCCGTATCAAGATGGGAATGGGAAAAGCTCAAAAAGGATTGATAGTACTACTCATACCAACAAGGTGCATCTTCTTTTCGAGAACTCATCACCTAGAAACTCCAAAGTTAAGCGTGCTTGACCTGGAGCAATTCTAGGATGGGTGACCCCCTGGGAACTTTCCTTGGGCGCGCACGAGTGAGGACAAAGTGCGCGGGAAAGACTTGTGTTGGTTTGTGGGGCCAGTCTACAATCCTATGAGCAGACACTTACGGCTAGGGTGGGGGCCGGGGTGTTACAACCCCAGAATGTCATTTTTATTAAAATGGAGCCAGTTACATATAAGAAAAAGTAATAGTGACCGGGAGCCAGGGTCCTACCTGGACAGGCATGGAAGGTCCAGCTTCAGTAACACGTTTTCCATTATCGTCAAATAAAGCTCGGACCTAAACATGAGCAAACATGGAAAGTTTATCAAAAAACAGAGTTTATTAGACACCACACCCTTGGGATAATCAACACTGAATAACTTAGACTGTTGAGTTTCATCTTAAAGTTCCCACTTCCAAAAAACTATATTCACTGACCTTTCCATAAGCTTCACCACAGACTGTGACATCGCCTGTTTTTAATGTCCCATTCAGCACAATGAATGTAGCTACAGGTCCTTTAGATTTATCAAGGCCTGCTTCAATCACAGTTCCCTTGGTGTTCCTATGAGGATTGGCCTTCAATTCTTGAAGCTTCAGTTAAAAAAAATCACAGGCTTAACATACAAAAGATAGATAATTAATACTACGTACACAAGAAAAATGAAAACTAAACAACCAAGTTGAGGAAATATTCTTAAATCACAATGTGACCACTGAATAAGTTACAGGGGCATGTAATAAGCGAAGAGGATGAAATGCAGGGATGCGTCCTTCCTTACTTGTGGCAGGAAGAAAAGAGAGCAGTGTGTGACTAGCTTCTCAGACTTAGGGTTCACCTCAACACTAAATTTATTAAAAAGCCTAATGAATATTAATAGCAAAACATTACTTTTCCTATTCATAATAAATAAGTAAATTCCATGAACAGTGTCTTATAATAGAGTGTTTTTCATATAGTCTTTGATTCTAAGAAATTATACCCATGGTCCTTAATATTTGAGAACTATTAAATAATCAGTCCTTTGAGGACTATATCTGAAAAACAATAACTGGGTCAAAGGATTGATTATGGAATAATTCTCAAATATTGAGCACCATGAATGTTATTTCTTAGATTTGAAGACTATATATGTAAAACACTATTATAAAGGATCATTTATGAAATTCACTCCATAATAAATAGTACACCCTCCTTCCCACTATTTTTGGGACATATAGCAAAATAAGAAAAGTGGAACTGTATGGTTGATATTAATAATAAAAAAAGTAATAAGAAAATATAAGAATGAATGTGAGCCACACAAACATTACTAAATATAGTATGGCATAAAAATAGTGGACGGACAAAAAAGGTAAAAGAGACAAAAATAGTGGGATGGAGAGGGTGAAAACTAGTGAATAATCGTAATAACAAATACTTAATAAAACCCTGGGTCTGTATTAATTAAAGGACCTGTCACACAATGTGATAACAGCTGCAAAAAATTCATGAAAAAAGAAATTCTCATACAAGAGGGGTGAAATAGCAGAATTGAGTTAAGTGCGACAGTATCCGGGGAAAAATGAAATTACATAAAATCTACATAGTTTATTTTTTCTTCATGTGAACCCAATCACGTGATATCTTTAAAAGAAACAGTAGCTAAGGCATTCCAAAAGATAAGCAGTTAAGAGTACTAAAATCAAGTGTACTTAGTTACTTACTTCTGCAACAAGCATGACCATTTCCAGCAAATCATCTATATTCTGTCCATTAAGAGCACTGATCTGTTCAAGAATATAACTAAATAAACTGAGAATTGTGTAACAGCCCTGCCCCACAGAAACACTAGAAGCGTATTTTCATTTCATCACCTTAACCATTGGAACGTCACCACCCCAGTCTTCTGGCATCAAACCAATAGAAGAAAGATCTTGCATAACTCGCTCTGGATTAGCTGCCTCTTTATCAATCTGAAAGGCACAAAAAGATACATCACTCTTAAGTCCTAGCAACGGTAAAGAAAAAAATGCAACCCCTACAGCGAATTTGGTAATAGTTATTAGGTTCAAATGACTTAATCTGCTGAGTTTTCTGTTTCAGTTAAACAAATGCAAGGCTACCTATTATGCTTATTCTAATCATTCAGCATACTATAACCAGACTAAGCCAATTAAAGCTACCAAACGGATCTAAATGCACTTAATTCTAGAAGACCTTATTTATGGCAACCACGATTGGAACTCTAGCTGCTTGGGCATGTGCAACGGCCTCATTCGTTTGAGGTCGGATCCCATCATCCGCAGCTACTACAATGACAGCAATATCAGTAACTCTAGCTCCTCGAGCCCTCATTGCTCCGAAGGCCTATAATGATCATTAGAAAAACCATCTGGATTAAAAAGCAAGCACATGGAAAAGTTATAACTCCATACTAGGGGACCTGAAATGCAATAAATGGCCAGTATACCTCATGCCCGGGAGTATCAAGGAAGACACAAGTCTTAGGGTCTCCTTGTACAAGTACCTTCACCTGATATGCACCAATTCCTTGTGTGATTCCACCAGCTTCAGATGCTGCTACCTAAATATCTACTCGTTAGGATTCAGGTTTCAACTACATTCGTGCTCACAGCGTATGCATTAAAATCCACGATCTCAAGTTAAAAGAAAAAAAACATTAAAATAGAAGTATATGTCACTCTGTACCGCTTGTGTGTATGTGTACACACAAGCTTCTTGTATACCTTGCTCTTGCGAATATAATCCAAAAGGGTTGTCTGTAAAGGGAAAATACAAAGTTAGCTAGACCCAGCAAAAGGATGAAAATTTAAAATAGTCCAGAAAGAAGATGTCAAATGAAAGCACCAATTTGTGCTGGAAAACAAAAAATGGAAACTATGGCCTATGACAGCTTACCTTTCCATGATCTACATGGCCCATTATAGTGATGATAGGAGGTCTATCTTCCAGTTGGTCTAAATCATCTTCATCAAATATCTCCCTTTTTTTAGCCATTTCTTCCACTTTAACCGGATCAACATCAATAACCTCCACATCATACTCTTTACATATCATCTTCACCATGTCTTTGCTGAGAGTTTGCACGCCATCAGGTTTTATTCCTTTTGTGTAGAAGTAACCAAGAACTTCACCTTCACTAATAGCTAAGTTGTATGCTAACTCCTCAATAAGCATACCTTCCCCGTCCACTTCCAGAATTTCAACCTTAACGGGAGCAGCATCTTTAGCCGCCTGCATTTTTGCTGCCTTACGACTTGCCTTGTTCCATTTCCTACCTTTCCTTGTTGGAGTAGTGCCTGGAATTGAAACATTGAATTTTAGTGCAGCATCATCATGAATCTCGTCACTAGCATCACCAGCCATTCGCTTTCGTGCTCCATCTGATGGACCATTCTTTTTACGAAAATCATATTTGAACTTCCCAACTGGAGTGCTCCTTCCAGGTTTTGTAAGGCTCTTAATGGGTTTTGAAGGGATCACTGGTTGAGCAATCGCAGAACGGGCAGCTGGTTGCTTGGAAGCAAATTTGTCAACTAAAATTGGTTTGCGCTCTCTAGGCTTTGTAACGGATTCAGCCGGACCAGTGGATCCATGAGGAGAAGCTGCAGCGCCCACATCCTTCAAGATAACTGGTTTTTTAAATACAGGTGGAGGAGCAATAGATGGCTGCAACTCTGGTTGGGCTTCGGGAGGGTGTCTTAAAGAGGCGGCAGTTTGAGAGTCGGGCATCTCTACACTATCTGTTTCTGGTTTCTGTTTAGGATTCCTGTTTCTAACTTTTTGAACAGCAGATGCTGCACTCCCTTTCTTCCCTGCACCAGTGGGTCGGTGAGGAGAAGGTGAAGCACCCACATCCTTCAAGATAACCGGTTTTTTCAGTATGGGTGTAGGAGTTATAGATGGCGGAAACTCTTCTTGAACTTGCTGAGGGAGTTTTAGAGAGGCGGCAGTTTGAGACTCGGGAATCTCGACTCTGTCTGTTTTTGGTTCCTGTTTAGGATACTTCTTTATAACTTTTTGTACAGTAGCTACTGGATTCCCTTTCTTCCACACACTCTTCATCGTCTTAGAGTTTCGATGGGGAATAGTCGTAGAACTACTTGGTTTGCCATTCTTATCTTTGGTGTTTGCACTGGCTAGTGATTTCTTAGTGGGATTGACTCTCTTACTACTCCCTAGCTTCTCCACCTTCTCCAGTACTTCTCCAAGTGACTCAACTAATTTTCTTTTATCATCTCCAGTACAAGAATTCTCATCACCGGAATCTGAGCTTATATCTGCTCCATCCCAAGCTGCAGAACCCATTTCTGAGAGGGGAGTAAATTTTGACCCGGGTATCAATTGAGGTTTGAAAGCCTGGTTGAGCAAAGGTTCAACAATATTTTCATCATCACTACTTGTATTAAATGAAGCCAATGTTATCGATGTTCCTTGGCCAGCAGTATAATCAGCAGTTACCGAGCATCTACAAACAGACAGGTATCGACATCTCCTCCCAGTCCAAATTTTACGAAAGCTCCTGAATTTTTTAGAAACAAAAATGCTCCCAACCAAAGCAGATGGACCTTCAAGCTGACCGGAAGAACACCTGCAAAAACTTCCCAAGTTCACCAGGGAAGTCATAGTAGACATTTCTCTGTGTACAAATTATCCCAACACTACCATTAACTTCCTACTTGAAAATGCTGCAACCAAACAAATTCAACTTCCCCAGTTCAGATTCTCAACACTTTAACACCCTTAACTAATCGAAAATCACCTGTGTAATGTGGCATTCAATTCAAAACTCAAACTCTTGAACTCGCATAAAAATATAAACTTTTTTACAGAATTGAACTCAAGAAATTGAATAGGGAGCTTATAGCTGCGTACAATACAATCAGCAAGTGGGATAGGTCTTACCTACAAGCGGCTCTGACATATCGGTTGGAGAATGGATAGCGTTGGCCTTTAGGGTGTTTTGGTTGACGAAGAGATTGGTAAATGATCGTTAAAGATGGTTGTGGTCTGTGGGTGAGAGGGAAGTGAAGCCAAGTGGTGGAGGAACGGACAATTGGGAAAAATGCCCATTTGAGCAGGATAAGGCTTTTGGCTAACGTTTTGGTTTTCCCTTTCTCCAACTCCATTTTTTTTATTTCGTTATTTTGGCCTATTGTGGGAATCCTAATTCCTAACACCTAATTTTGTACCTCGTCTCAAAATTCTTCAATACTATTCTCCTAAATAAAACAAAAAATAATAAATTTAAAATTAACAAAAATTAATAAAAAGATTAACATTAATTATTAAATAAAGGTCTAAAATTTAAAAAAAATGAAATTGAAAAAAAATTGATCTGGACCAAGGAAGAAGAAGCTAAAACTAGGGTTGAAAATTTTTTATAAAAAATCCCATTAAAGAAGGTGAGGCTTTTGACTAAGGTTTTGGTTTTCCCTTTTTCCAACTCGATTTTTTTTTATTTAGTTATTTTGGCCTAGGAATCCTAAGAATGTTTACAATGCGGAGCAAATCTGTCCCGCCTCAACATTCTACTATTTTTTTGCTTCTTTCCAAAATCTTGAAATGCTATCACCTTGAAAATCCGTCTCTTTTACAATATTCATCATTTTTAATTCAAAACTTATATAAATTTAATACAAATATTTATTTATTAATAAAATAGATAAATAATTATAAATAAAATAAAAGTAATAAATTCAAAATAAAAAAAGAAAAATATTAACATTAATAAATATTAATTTGAAAAAGGTCGAATTTGAATACATTAAAAAAGGATCAAAATTAAAACTAAATAAAAATGAAAAAAATTGGTCAAGTCTAAAGAAGAAGAAGCTAAAACTGGAAAGGGTTGGAAAATTAAAAAAATGGAATTACGCTGCGGCGGACCGCTGCATTGGTTGGCTACCGTGAAATTGCGACGGGTTTTCAGCGTGGCTCAGCACCCTAGGGGCGTGGGCTGGAGCAATTTTGCGGGGATGTACCCCCNTTAAGGGTTAAGAGGGAAACTAGGAAGAAAAAGGTTGATTTTTATTATAATTTTTTATCTTTATTATATGTATCATTTATTTTTTATTTCAATTTCTTTTATTTATTATTATTTCTATTATTAGTATTATTATTTATATTATTATTATTATCATTATTATTAATTACTATAAAAATAAAATTATAACATTTATTATTATTACTTACTAACTTATATATTTATATATTTATTTCTAATTTAGAATTTAATTTTTTACTTTTTATTATTTAATATTTTTATTTATTTATTAATATTTTTACAGTAATTTTTATTTTTCTTTTTTAATTATGGGTTATATTTTTTTATATTTTTATTGCTTATCATTTATTATTATTTATTCTTTTATTATTATTATATTGCATTTGTTTTTAATCACAAGATGGAGAGAAAATTTACCAATGATTTGAAGCTAAACTTATAGACCACTCCCCTTCATTTTATTAAACCAAACAAGTCGAGAGGCTTACTTTTCCTTCCATCCCCTTCTTTCCAACCAAAGAGATCTTACATGTTCATTTGGCTTTGAAACGAGCATTTAGAATTAACTTCTGGATAATTTTTTAGGCAAATTCTTAGATATACCCAATTTAGGCAAATTTTTATATGGATCTAAGGTTCATTGTATTTATGGTGGATCTTAATATATGATAAGTAAGTATTTCTGAAATATTAAGATAACATTTATATTATAAAATAAAAATAAAAAATTACTCCTCCTTCCCAAAATATTTTCCGCATTATGCAAAACAATGTAAAATTTTAAGTTTTTTCAATGCATTCTATTTAAAAATTGGTATAGAAATGAATCATAAAAGTTTATATATTTAAATACTACGTCAAAAGGTTTTCAAAACAAGAGGTCACATGAAATGTACAAATAAAAAACTTTCTCGTAATTTTTGAATATTGAACTTAAGTCTATCATAAAACCTCTCAATTTTTTAATAGTGTGGATTAAATTCAAAAATGTTCAACTTAAATTCTATTATTAGATAAAGAAAACCCCTTGTATAAGAGCTAAAAGCAGCAAAATGACATGTTTAGTCGTAACACTAAACCATTTGAATAATCATAGTATGGTACGTGTCTATGAAAATACTCAAGTGTAACAATCTTAGTCTACCCCTAGAAAAAATCATAATTCGTGTCCCCAAGTCAATCTTTTGTGTTTATATTATATTTGGGAGAACTCCTTGGATAAATGTAAAAATTATGAAAACACTAAAATATGAGTTCTAAGTATTTCAAGACTAAGATAGCAGTTCACACTACCATTCTTACACTGCTATTATTGAAACAATAGAATAATAGGTTTACTTAAGAAGAAATCATCCTAAATAGGAGTGAAACATAGAAAAAACTGAAAAGTATCAAAATAGAAACTCTATGTTTTTATCATAAAATAAGAGTTCACACTGTAGTATTGTGGCATTGTATAAACATTTCATAATACTTTTTGGTAATGTATATGGTCATGATTGATACTATAAATGTGTTTTAACTCCTATTTCAGGAATAAAAACATGAAATTCTATTTTGGTATATTTTTTAATGTTTTACTCTTATGAGAGATACAAAAGTGTATATATAGGAAGTATTCTTAACACAAGTAGGAATTAACCTAATAATAGAAACTAATTAACTAAAAATAGAATTCAAACAGTATCCTAATTAATACTATTAGTATTGTCTAACATCCCCCTCCAGGTGAGTTTGGCGGAAACAAGAGGAAACTTGGATAGTGGCTGGAAACTAGAAACACTGAGAATGTGAAGGTTGACGTGTGCTGGTAGCAATTGACGTTGAAGAAGAAAAGAGAAGTCTCACATGTGCTATGAGATACTGACGTCGAAGAAAAAGAAGAGGAGCCTGACGTGCGCTAGTAGTGCTAACGTCTGTGAAGAAGAGAGAAGGATGACGTGCACTTGTAGTTGTTGACGTTGAAGAAGAAGAGAGAAGGATCTTGGAGGTGCATGTTTGACCGAACATCCTTAATATTTTTTCTCTTTTTCTTGGATTCAGGCAATGTCTCATTACTTTTCTCAATCGTGAGAGTCTTTTGTGACTTTCTTGGAGGGGTGAGATGTTGAGGTATTCCTTCCTCTTCGTCAATTTTTCCTTTCGGCTTTGCTTTTGTTTTGATTTGTTTTGGGTTTTTTACTGGTTCTACAGAAAAGAAAGAGAAGGAATATTGATAATTAAGAATGAGTGATATGAGATAGAAAAAAGTATAATCCAATTCGAACTTTGGAATGGAGCTAATGAAAAAGGTAGTTTGAGAACAGGATTTCCAAAAATAGTTTTGGTGGTACTAGATGCATCCATGACACAACACATATGTCAACCCAAAATTATTACAAGGCGACCTTTGTTTTGAAATGAGAAAGATACAAAGGGAGAAGTATCAACAATTTTGTAAGTGGTGTACAATTGAAATGGATTGGAAAAAAATTAGGTTGAATGTAGTAGGGTGAAGACAACGGCCCGGTGGGCGGCTAATGGCACAGTCCGCCCGCTAGAAGCAAATCAATAGGTATTGGTCACATAGAGTGGTGGTTCTGATACCATTTTGGAATGATAAAACAATATGTTTACTTAAGAACAATGAAAGATACAAGAGATTATGGCCTCGTTTGGCATCAGCGTTAGAGATTAGCGTTAGCGTTTTGAAAAAGCTATCCGACGGTAGCTTTTAGCGTTAACGTTTTCTGAATTAATCTACACCGTTAATATTTTATCCAAAACGCTAACGCTAATTGAAAACACTCTTCACAAACAAAGCCTATATATATGAAGTATTCCTAGCACAAGTAGGTATCAACCTAATAATAGAAACTATCTAACATTAGGAATCCAAACACTACCATAATTAATATTCTTATTATTATTGTCTAACAGCCACACTCACCATATTATCGCACTACAACTGCTACACTATCAATGTCACCGCCGGCCACCTTAGTGTCGTTGTTGTTTTGACTGATCTACCACTTGGTTGGTAATGAGAGATTTCACATCCTCGGGGAAGATGATTAAATGATCCATGATATTGACTCAATTCAACATTTAGTACCTACCAAGGGAAACTATAAAAGGTCAGGCCGTTTTAGATTTTCTCGTAGAAATGAAAAATCACAAGGAAGAAAAACCAGCAAAGGTGATAACATAGCCTCGGTGGTCAATGTTAGTCGATGGAGCTTCTAGGCCAAAGGGCTACAGTGGGGGCGTGGTCTTTACTACCCCAAAAAGTTTTAATGTATATCGTGCCTTGATATTCAATTTCAAACTTACAAATAATGAAGCAGAGTATGAATCTTGAGTTCTTTACTACCCCCAAAGGTCTCTAATAGAAGTGTTATCCTTAATTTTTTTATTTAGGACCCGTTTGAGAATATTGTTCTCGATTAGCGTTAGAATTTTGGATAAAAATTTAAAGATGTAGATTAACTTTGAAAGCACTAATGCTAAATGCTTCTCTGTAGATGGCTTTTTCAAAATGGTAACGCTAATCTCTAACGTTATTCTCAAACAGGCTATTATAATATTTTTTTCTATTGCAAATTACGTTGTTTGTTTATTATTTATTGGGTCACACTTCATCCATTTTATTTATCTATTATTGTTACTTATTTGATAAAATTGTATGGTCATGTCATCTTTTCTTTTAGGGATATTTTGATATACTACCTCTATCCCAGTGGATTTGCTCAATTTAACTTTTTCAAATCAAACTAGACAAACATTAGATCCCAATTACATAAAATTTTTAATGTTTATTAGTATAAAAATGATTTCATTGGATTTATTTTGCTGTGAATTTTTGAAATTTGTTTTTATTATATTAATATGCAATAAGGATTGGGAGCAATTGATTATTGAAATTCATCCAATATGACTTGAAAAAAGTAAAGCAGGACGAATACATTGGGATGGATGGAGTGATTTTTAAATATATAAATTTTATTGTTTAATTTTATCCCAAATTTCAATTATATTAAACTAAAAATAATTTTAATCAATTATCGTAAATTGAAACATGTGATTTAATTTGGGACAAAGTGAGTACTTATTTTTATTAGAATCAGATCAGAACCAATAAGATAAGTTGAAACCC